TGTTAAGTTTTTGATCGAAATCATGAATGGATCAATGCTAGACCACGATTGGAAACCTGGCAGCACTGAACGACCGCTTTCTCATGGTATGGGATTCTTCAGTAGCGCGCATGCACGATCCTGCGCACGAGATTCCAACTCAGGACTTTGGGTCCCTTGCGCTATCGCTTAACATCTAGACCACTGGTCCGACATCCAACGGTGGTAATGTCTAACTTCAGCCAATCCACGAAATTGCGTGACCATCTTCCATTGTCTGAGGTAGATACCTGCCTCTAGCTGATACAGATTTAATATATTTAAAGAATTTTTTTCCACTGATTTACTAAATGGGAGAAAACCATTAAAAAGTCTGAGCTGCTTCTTATTTTTAGGTTTTATTATTGATGATGTCTCTTGACTTATGAATTTTAGTGTGGAAAAACAGTCAATAATTGAAGATATCTGCCTGTATTCTAACCAGTATTTACATTATTGATAATTTGTTTGCTATGTAACGGGCAATTTCCACTTTTACTATTTTAATAGATAGTTTTAAATCAGCTTAACAGCTTTGATTTTTTGGTATCTTCAGTTAGTTATTTAATAGCTCTATTTTTCAGAATCTATTTGTTTAAATACGAAGGTCATTCTTGTTAGGAAAAATGTCACTTGCTCCGGTTCAAATATTCTTACGTTGTATTAAGCAAGTTGAAATGTCATGATGCAATAAACTGTCAGAAATTAAGTGATTCATATGTCAAACAATTATCAGACTACTCATCAGAAAAGCATGTATTTTATATAACAATTTTAAAGGACGAGGAAAAGAGGTAGATACAGATAATTAATGATTCAAGCCAAAAGAATTATATGCTGACTGGCTAATTATATAGAAGTTATTTCATTCGATCTATAAAATGACAAAGGTCAGAAATGTGAAACGCTGGATTTCGATGCAGTGATCTAATGTTAGCACATCCATCTCGAAATTTAAATGTCTTTGGTTTAATCAACGGTCAAACGATGAATGTTTACTGCTGAGGACTTTGAAATCAGAATAAAACTGCTGCTAAATCCATTATATGTATTTCCTCAGCAGTATGAAATTTATGAAAATTAATAAAAATTCTTAACGGTTTATTAAAAGTTATCCTTAAATTAGAGCAGTCACTCATTTTTCTTTTCTACCTGTGTAAAATGCGTATTATTCGAGCTTAGAAACCATTTGTTCATGAATATGTTTGTCATTTTCTTATTTATCATAACTATTAAAATAATTTACTAATTAGCGATTTAGTAACTTGTTAACTTATTCCTAAGGTAAATATAAAATCTGATATGCATGATAAGTATGTAAATTCTGAAGTGAGTAAAATTACGTTCTGTATTTTTTTTATTTACTTGGTATCTGAACAGAAATGTCTTGGCGTTAACAGTTTAGTAACAGAGTGTAAATGTCTGTTTTTTTCTGATGAAGTTTGCGTCACAGTCCGATTTGTGTAATACACATCTCAATCTAAGCATTGGACATAATCATAGTTTATTACAATAATATAGGAGTAAAATATGGATGAAAATACAACTTTGTCATTATTTATTGTTTCAGCAACATAAACACTTTTCTGACTAATTATTTATTTGATTCATAACATACACGCACGTATATCTTAAGTGTCAGAGAACAAAGTACTGTTATGTCACTAGCACTGTTAAAACCTGTGCAGAATCTAAATTTATCAAAGCTTATTGAATGTATTTAAGGATTTCTGTGGATATTAGCTTAATTTATGGGTATTATTCAATACAAATGAACTTTTCAGGTGGTATCATTCTAGATAGAATCTTCCTACTAATATCCCAAAGTTTTCGTATGCACTTCAACTGAGGTCAATCTGCGACGAACAACAAAGGTAAACTAAAATGTACTACACAACCCCATCAATCTAACTACAATTATGTACTCACAAGTCAGTTCGAGACATATACCTAATTCTCTAGTGCGAAGCTGTGGCTAACAAGGTTCAATCACGATGATATTAAGTAGATAAAACTGATTAAAGCTGTATATTGAGAATTGATAGAAGTTGAATTTGAAAACCATCAGACTCGAATTCACTTGTTAATGGTTTTGTTTAGTTTACTAATGTTCTAATTACTGACCATTATTTTTTATTAACTAGTTGGTGTTGTTATTAAGCAAGGACGACCTATTTTGTAAATTAAGCCTAATTCATGTGTGTTTTCAAATTTATCCAAAATCCTGAGTTAATTTTAAATTGCATTGAAGATTAACTTACGTTGTAATGAAAAATAAATTATCTGTCAGAGGATACTGACTTCCTTCAAGGGAAAAATATAGCCTAGGAATATAAAAAAAACAGTAACATAAATTTATCAAATTTCAAGAACTGTCAATCTAACTTAGTTTAAATCTGCAAGGGTAAATAGCACATATACAAATATTTCACTCTATTTTCACTACACTTTAATCTTAATGAAAGAGTCGGGAGCTAGTCATTGTATTCTTAGGAATAAACTGTTTATATCTTTTTCAACCGACTAACCAGATTTCATTTCATTTAGATAGGATAAATTTATTATGATCTACCAATACATTTGTAACTTCATATTTGGTTGTGATTTTAGACTCAATAACTATTACAAGCAAACCAATGTTCATAAATCATTTGAAAAGCTATGAGTTCCATTAATAAATATATCCTTATATTCACCAAGCAAGAACATTATAATTGGAATCATTGACTGAAGATAATAATCTAACAAATAGACTTTTATAATGAAATGATAGTTGAGTTTCTATATAAAAATATATGTTGCATAAATTTGGAAATATTCATAAGTCACCTAACAATGTTTTAGATATAAAAACCGGTTATATGGGAGTTACATAAAGGATCTTTGAAGGAAGTAATAAATATGAATTTTTCAAACCCGACTGTAGATTATCTGGAGAGAGATAGTAATCTAGAAAAAAATTTATATTCAAACAAAGAATCAACGCTTTATGAAAAGGCACAACTATGTTTCCTTATGAGGTAAACCTATTAAGGTTAAAAACAAATGTGATGCACTATGTAACTTCACTAAAATTGTAAAAGTTTTATCAGTTCAATGAACACAAAACACACAAATCGTAGGATCATTGAACTACAGAAGGGAAATATGGCTAACCGGTTGTTAATGAACACATTTTTTCGATTGTATTGTTAAAACTATGAGGTTAGGAATTAAATTAAAATCTAAGGTTTAAAGGTCACATTTTGATAAAGTGAATGATGAACTGGATCCAATAAGACTTCAGGAATATATCGTTAAAATTGTTTACCTCTAACTAGTTTGTAAACTAAATTAATCATCACTGTCTCTATCTCAGTTTATTTATTTGAGATATCAATGAAGCACCGCTGTACTTCTAACTGTCAACATTTATATTACCATTCTGAAGTTGATAGATTCTTGAAATTCCGAAAATGAAAGTAAAATCAGTTAAATGATATATGACACTATAACAAGAGAATCCTTTGAATTCAATTACACTAACATGTGTTTTATGGTGCCTTCTTTCTTAAACAAAATCTTTTATGAACAAATATTATCAAACTTCAGTAGAGTTATTTTATTAGTTAAAGTACATTGACATTTCGAGTAGTCAGACACATACATTAGTAATCAAATCAATGAGAAGAAATTTTATGAAAAGAACATCCTAGCAAGTATTCCTTCTTGTTCTTTTCTATTTTGATTCACTAATATACAGAATCACACAACAATAAAATCGTAAACTCTTTCTTTTTTTACATGTCAAATTAGTTGACAATCATTATGTATTGCATATTAAATTTAATATTCTATAAAATTGGAGTCCATGAATAGAAATGAGCAAAACCAGAACATAAATGGGACTATGTGACTATATTATATCATTCTTAGGTCGTTTGTTTGTAAAGTGAATAGAAATGTTTTGACAAAAATTAACAAGACTATGTACTTTGTTATTTCTAAAAAATAATTGTTCTCCTTTTTAAAATTATAAAGTGATATTTTCAGTAATATAATTTCGATAGGCACATTAATTTTAGCATACATGTGCATATATATTTGCACTATCTGAATCACTATTATGTATTAAGCTATGGACACGGTAACTGAAGTTTGTCGCATATATATATATATATATATATATACCAATCAGAAGTCTTGTTTGTATTTTATTTTGGAGAATATATATATATATATATGTCTACGTGTCCTAATTTAATGCTATGACTGTGTGTATATTTGTTTGTTGGTAAACACAAAAATGTGTGTCTGTGCTAAAGTATATGAGAAAAAAAAGTAAGTTAACTTCTTGTCTTTTTCTGTCTTGTTAAATTGTTTTTATTCAACTAATGATCATGAACAATATGAATGAAATTTTACTAATTCTGAATGTTCCAATGATCTTCAAATATCTAACGATCATAAATCGTTAGATACTTTCAATTTTAGTTCATTAAAACACATTTATATATAATAGTACACAAATGTGAATACTGTTATAAAGAATAAGTAATGATTATCATCATTGAAAATTATTAATTTAATAAAAAGTAACTGTGATTTTAAAAGTTATGTTACCTTGAAGAGAGCTTGGACTTTTTGGTCAAACAATTATTAGACATTGGAAATTGAGTAATCAACTACTACAACAACCTTTTCAAAGACCATATCTATAAATGTTATCAGTAGCGTTATGTATTATATCATATAATTGGTTTTACTTGAATCAGATTGTATATTCTCTTGGATTATAATCATCAGTGGACATGTGACACTTATTAACAATCTATTTCTGTACTTTGATTTACAATGAGATATGCTTGTTTGGATTATATAGTTTTCGAAATTTACATTCTTATTTAATGACGAAAAACAAAAAAAGTTCAATTATGTAACAACTTAAAATCGTACTTTAGTGTTTATGTAACCATAGCTGTATAAATATAATTGGTTGACCTATGGAAAGTGATAAGTCTGGTTTGATTAAATCCCCTCCTTCTGTATTAAGGAGACAAGGTCGAACAAATAGTATACGTGGTCAAATCCGCAGTTTAACAAACAAAATGACTCCTCAACCAGTTAACAAACTGGATGATATAAAATATGAACAAAAGTCAGTAATCACTGGAGAAATTCCAACTACTCGTGTGAATACACGATTATTTAATGCACGTAAACAATTCTCCAAGCCATCTGTTCCAACAATATCACTCGATGATCAAAATTCATTAACTACTAGTCCTCAATCATCAAGATCCGCATTCAGTCATAAAAAAATGTATAAGACCGACTCAATTGAGTCTAGAACATCAATGCCTGTATCACCATCCGAATCGCATTATTCACCCCATTTTGAAAAGAATTTAACACACGTCACTACAACTATGCGTGCACTGTCAACGTCTCCACGTGTAGGCTCACCGAATGCTTTAGTTCCTCCCTATAATAAATCTTTACAGCCTTTGGCTTTTTCATATGATTCCATAAATCCAGACTATCATATAAATAAGGATACAAGTGATAAACATTCGCGTGAAATCTACACTACTAATAATAGAGTTAAACCGAAAAGTCTATTAAATACTAAATCTCAGCTCATCAAAAGTCCTCAAATGACAGGAAAAAATTTTATTCCGATGACATCCTCTGTAATGACATCAGCATCAGCATTAACATCAAATATAAGTGATGATATTTTATTAGGATTAGTGCATCAAAAATCGACAGAGTCACATGATTCCTCGATAAGTATGCCTAGTGTAACTAGTTCCGGTGGTAGTCCATACACATCAGGTGGTTCACGACTACTTGAACAAAATAAAAAGGAAGATAAGTTATACAGAAGTACTGAAGTTAATTTTTACACAGATGACCAGGGAATAAAGCCAAGTGAACAACATATTGTAAGACGTTCCAGTTATGAAGTAAGTTAATCCATCGTGATATTATCTTATCTATGCGTGTATTTATTGAGTGGTCTTTATGTATTAAAACACTTGTATATTTAGATTTATACTCACAAACATCCCGGTTAAACTAAACAAATCAAAATAGATAGACATCAACTATAAACTAGTAATATAGTTAACATTACATCCTCATATATTAATTAGTATTTTACTAAGCTTTCATATGAACGAGACTACACTTTGACGAATGCTAGTTTCAACGTAAACATTTCTATGAATGTTTTGTCATAATTTCTCTAGTATCCGTTCAGATTTAGAACATAAAAAGTTTTGTTACTTTTATCAAAAGTTTTCATGTTTTTTTTTCTCAGCAAGTCCTTACATAATAAATGAAAGAATAAACAGTAATAATTCTAATGTTCTATATCAATCATTTTTAACACATTATTACATCAATAAAATAAGTTGACTGTTCATAAAAGTATGATTTAAACGTTACTAATACAACTTAATTCAATAATGCGTTGTTTTTTTAACAGGATCACCTAGGATACGACACTGATTATAAAGTTATTGTAAGAATAATAATAATAATGTGATTTCAAGTTTGAGTCACACAAATAATTAGCTAACTATACATCCATTTCATTTGAATTTTTCACATCCCAACAAGAGATGTAATGTGATGAAATTGAATTTTACCAAAAAATATCTTACAGTATATACTGACGGTCTAATTAATAATAATTAACATATTAATTACAATCTGTTTAATCGGTTGACATAGTTATCTAAATAACATTTGATCATATTAAAAATACAATGATAAGCATTAGTCTAAGAAGCGTAAGTAAATAAGAATGAATGAACAGCTTCTTCCTTAAAGTTTATGACCCCTTAGCAGTGTACAATCAATCCTAATTCTTGAATATCCTTGAAATGAATTACCAGGCGCTTTATTTAAACCGCGAAATCGATTGAGTTCAACGATTCTGGAGTGAACTATTTAAGAAGTTAGTCATAAAAATATCGATAAGACTATAATTTATGGACGAACCAATCAAAGTTACGATAAAAGATCTTGAATTTCAGCATGAAGTTCTTTATCCATTTGGTTAGAGTCTTGACCTTTTAGCTGATATCAGTTCGTGATGAAAACCCAAAATCTAGTGTCTATCCCTAACCATCAATTGTAAATCACAATCTTTATCCTTCACACAGGTTTAAAACCTTCATTTAGCCCTAGTCAGTAGGTGGACATTCTTAAGGTCACTTTAACGTCGCTCAAAAATCGTCCATAAATTATGATCTCACCAAAATATTGACTATTTAATGCCTACTTCTATGGTACCATAAAACCGGGATTATTTTTTGGCTCAAAAGTGTAGGTTTTCACTGATGAAAAGACTCAAGAATAAGAGTGGAAAAGCTATTTAGCAGACCATGATTTTTGGAAATTCCATAACTAATTTCGAAAGATTAGAAATCAATAGATATAATTCCTAGAATCTTGATGCAATTACATCTTAAATGTGTTAAACAACTGACAACTAGTCCATTACATATTGTTATTCATTTGTAAGTGATCCAATAACTTAGTATCATTGTTTCACAAACACATTAGATCAATTTATTTAGCTTTGTAAAAAAACAAACCTAACATCTAATTAACAGGATTCAAAATTATCCGTCAATCGATCAAGCTACTACATCATTAATACACTTGGTTATGCAAAGAATTACAATTCAGAAAAACACATGTTTAGTTATAAATGAATGAAACAATTTTAGAATATTTTATTAGGCTTAAATTAAATTCAATATAACACAAATTTTCGTAAATATATTTTATGTTGTAACCTACTTTATTGTTTGGTACACCTATTTTCTAACTGTAGATGTTTTCTGCTTTAGGTTTTTGTTAGACTAAATACTTTTGAACCTTAATTGTACTCATTCATGCTCTATAATAATAGTATACAGATTACTGTGATGTTAAGTATTGGAAATCATAATCAGAAACACTTAAACTGTTAGAACATTTTATTCCTTATCTGTCATTTGGATATAAAGAGACGAATTATGTCTCCTTATATAAATGATTAAATAGATGCAAGATACATAATTGACTTTAATATACTTAATATTATTAGTAGAACGTTTTTCACATACATAGTACTTTTTAATCTTTCCATTAGAAATTACAAATTTTGTAATTTCCTTTAGTTACAGTTGCAGTTATTATATTTAACTATAACTTTTGGGATAAATAACAAATCTATAGGTATACAGATATATATATGTCGTTGTATAACGAAGTTATGTACACATAGACATGTACATATGTAGGATCTAGCAATTTAACAGATTAATAAATCAACAAACAATAATTAACAACAAATTAGTGATTTTTTTTCTCAATGTCTGTGTGACTAAACGTATGTGTACAATCATTTCAATCAATATATTATGCTTTTACCTAAGTTCAATTTCGCTTTTAGTATTTTAATTCATAAATAAAAATAGTCAGTAAAACAGTAAATAAAAAAAGACTTTTCTGTCAAATGTACTTTAATAGTTGAAATCATGAGTCAATTGAAGCTAGTCCACTATGGAAAACCTGGAAGCACTGGACGGTCGTTTCGTCCTAGTGTGGGACTCCTCAGTAGTGCGCATCCACGATTTCGCTCCCCTCGAGATTCGAACCCAGGACTTATCAGTCTCGAGCGCGAGAGCTTAACTATCAGACCATTAAGCCGACATTCAACGGCGTTAATGTCTAACTTCGTGGATTGGTTGGAGTTTTATCTTTTTACGCATGATGGAAGTCACAAATATTCATAACACAGTACTTCTGAAATTTGGTTGCTGATCTAATTTTGCATTTATCTAGTGTAGCCCTCGGTATTCAATTGACATATCTGATAATTAGCCATTATGTCTCTTGTTAATGACTATTTATGATTACACAAACTCTTTTTCATTAAGTTTGTGTCTTAACTGTTTTCGATTTCCTTATTTCTACACAGAAAGGTATTTTAACTTATTTCAAAGATAACTCTTCGAAGCTTACGATTGAAAACGTAAAGTTCAATCGATCAGATTGTTACAAATTTAACTTTGCGTCTATTGTTTTACGTATATTTGGAGCCCAATTTTTGTAAGACCTTTTTTTACGATCTTGAATAATATCGCTTTTAAAATTCCTACTGTTTATATGTTTGAACCTATTTTGAATGTTGAACTGTTTGTTTTATCATGATGTTGTTATCTTTCAGATTACTCCCAAGCAATTTGTTCCAATTATCATAGTAAACTCTAAGTTCGAAGATGTAAAGTTAATTAGTAAATCACCGTCCGAATCCTATTATTAGCTTATTGTGTCATAAGGCTTGATTAGTCATTTTTTAAATAAAACATAAGCAACTGAATATAATTTTAATCACATTTTAACATAAAGAATCTAAGCAACAGAGTTAATATATAGCTGGATAAAAAATATGAGTCTACATACAACATTAATTAAAATGTTACAGTCTCGTTAATTTAGCTGTTGTAAATTTGAACCCCTCCCTACTTACTTATATTTTGAGTGCCACTGAAAGTCGAATACATGAGTTTTGTTTGGTGAATGAGTACATTAGTGCGAGCTATAGTCTAGTAATATAATGCAACAAGACATAGACTTTAATTTACCACTTCTTGATATTGATTACAAATTATATAAACTCTAAGACTGAGGATACTGCTAATAAATGTGTTATCTAATTAAGCTATTAAGTAACAATAAATGAACTGAAAACACAGTTTGTCGAAGATCGATATAAGTTGAAAAGACGTTGAGAATAATAGAAAAGTGTTGAAATATTCTTTACATGTTTTGTAGGATTCATTAGCGAAGGCTAACAACACTACATTAGATTGACATCTAATGATCAGTATTTTCAGACTTCGGTCCTTGATACCATTGGTGAAGGATTTACAATGTCCACCACGTTTGGACTCCATTAAACATGACATTTGATAATCAATTTCCAGACTAGTCATAAGTAAACACCTAACTGTTGTTTAGTTGCATAAAATGCTCTTATCTAAAAAGAATGTGACGTGACTTTTAATCAACACCTTTAATAAAATTTTCTTTGACTTAATACTAACCTCCAAAATTACTTAGTGTGTCGTATGATTCCAGATGTATTTTCATCATATTTGAATGCACCTCTGTGAATAACTCTAAGAACTATCGTAATATCTTCTATAGTGATTCGTATTCCATTATCTGTCTATAATATTCTTTAAAGATAAGATTTATACTCACCGATAAGAAAATATAGTGAATTGGTTTCTAGAACTATCAAAATATTCTATTCAGGAACAACGTTTCATATATCAGTATTAACAAGTTACTGTTTAAGTTATAATATAAGCAATAATTATGCAGTTTAGTTTGGTTGTGTTTTGTCATGATATCAGTAGGCTAAATGATTATACGTTAAACAATCAATGTTCCCTTAGGCTCTTAATATGAATATTGTTTTAACTTCCTTTTTTATTTGAGTTTACTGAATATACTGAATAGATAGTTTTTAGGTTTTAAATATTTCACTAGTTGAAATCACGAGTCAATTGAAGCTAGACCACTATGGAAAACCTAGAAGCACTGGACGGCCGTTTCTTCCTAGTATGTGACTCCTCACCAGTGCGCATCCACGATCCCGCACTCCGCGAGATTCGAACCCAGGACCTATCAGTCTCGCGCGCGAGCGCTTAACCATCAGACCACTGAGCCGGCATCCAACAGTGTTGATGTCTAATTTCAACCAATCCACGAAGTAGCGCCACCGTATACCATTGTCTTCAGTGAGCTGAAATTTCTAAAATCTCCACAAACCCCTTCTGATTTTAAATATTTCCCAATTTAAGCATATTTTTGTTTTATTGTGAATAATTCAATATGAATTAATCAATATTTAGTGACTTAAATATAATTAATAATTAGTAAATTAAAATGTTAT